AGTCCAGCTCATCGGGAGGAAAGCCTCCCGATGAACTGGGCTTAAGACCAGCTCATCGAGAGGCTTGCCTTCCGATGATGGTACCAGGGACTAGATTATCGAATGGAAGGCCTCCGGAGGTTCTCGGTTTAAGACCAGCTCATCGGGAGGTTTTCCTCCCGATGAGCTGGTACACAGTCCAGCCCATCGGGAGGGTTTCCTCCCGATGAGCTGCTATGAGCAGTCGTCGTCTCTGGGGCATTGACGGCCTTGGTGATGTACTCTTTCCAAGGACCTACCAAGTCCACTCCAGATCGGTCACAAACTCCAAAAAAACGTTCCACGGGCGATTGGGTACACGACGAAAGCTTGATAGCTGAGCAACTGGTGCGTAGCTTGGCCTTCCTCGGACCGCAAGGGAATCAAGACCTGCGAAATGCGTTCGTGATCATCATTGGTCTTGGTGGCGTCGGTAGCTCCGCTGCTACTTCCCTTGTTTGTAGTGGAGTCGGCAGAATCAGGTTAATCGACTTTGATCAAGTTACTTTATCTTCGCTAAATGTACTCCAGTCTCAAAATCAAAACCAATCAGTCGTCAAAAAAAAGCCCAACGTTTGCGCCTTCCTAATTCTAAGAGATTAATAGCTGAATTCCTCCCTCCCTAATCTGAATCGGATGTCGATTCTGATCAGAGGCATGCAACAGCTACACGGGAAGACGTGGGGATTGCAAAAGTAGTATCATGTAAAAACTTTTATCAGAAAATCACACCTTGGCTGAAAATAGAAGCTCTGGTTGAACAATTCACATTATCGGATGCGCTGGATTCACCGCCGCCGTCCCATAGGACCCATGCCTGGGTCCTATGGGACGGCGGCAATCCTAAACGCATATGTACATATACATATGCGTTTAGGAATCCTTGGCGTGCAGGCCTGCACGCCAGTCTACACTCTGTAGATTGGCGTGCGGGCCTGCACGCCAATTTTCTTTGGCGTGCAGGTGTGCACGCCAATCCGCACCTGGCGTGCGGTTTGGCGTGCGCCAGGGGGGCTGGCGTGCGATTATCAAGCCCCTTATGTGTAATCCTTAAGTTAATGATTATTAAGTAATGTTATCCCTTTTTACATGTATTTTTTATGTTAATAATTATTCTGTAAATTAATAAAGATTCACCTCTTTATTAATTTACCTCTTTCCGTGAAAATTATAATCAAGTTTGAAAAGGATAATTATCTCCTGGGGTGTATCCAAGAGATGATTATCCAATTTACTCTCTGGTGTTGTTTATATGTTATCTCTCCTTATGGTATCTCTGAAATAAAAGATATTCAACACATGCACATTTATCATGCTCTGAATATCCTGACACTTTCCCCCAAGGAAAAGTGTAACAATAAGGGGACTGCACCGGTCCCAGCAGCAGAATTGACCCCTGCTATGTAATATTTAAGAGGATGCCTCTCCCCCTGAGATTCATCCCCCAGACATTATTACCATACAAACCCAATCACCTTACTAGATATTAAAATACTAATAAATAGTGAGTGGGGTTTTTACAATAGTCTTAACATATTAATTACTCTTTTCCTTATACTCATTACTAGCCTTATAAGTTACTTATTTAACTTATAAGACTAGTACCAACCCTTTTCTCTTATATTAACTGAGCTCAGGCACTGTGAAGCTCATTCCACAGCTGTCCCTTATTTTTATAAGGAGCCAGTCCCTCCACTGTACCAGTGTAGAGTTGGACTTTATTTCCACTGGCCCTCTTGGCTATAGTGTGACCCAAAAACCCTATCAACTCTTGGTCACGTAAGAGACCAGAGCTGACAGCTGTGCAATTGTAGAGGTAGTTGCATACGTGTAACTCTGCTTATACAAGTTTGTGATCATGAGAAATTCATGTGCTTCATGCATAATTCAGTCTTGCATGTAGAATTTGGGCTCCTTTCCCGTGTAGGCTACTTTGAATTATGCTAACTTTGAATTAGAGTACAAAAGGGTCCTGATGACGCCATCCAAAAGGGTTATGATGCAATCTGATGCCCTGATGAAGCGATCAAGGATGGGTAAGCTTCAGATAAATTTATATAGCTTATTCCTCATCCATTTCACACTTCTACTAGCTGATTCTTATACATATGTTATTAATTTATGTATTATTAAATATGTACATAATGTATAAGGATACATATTATTCTAATACCTTATTCTAAAGCTATTTCTGTGAAATCCTAGTGATATTATATGTACAATACTCAAGGGGTTTTCACAGTTAATTATAGAATTATTAGATATAAATTATGAATTAAGATTAAATGTAAATACATATTTATTTATTTATTATTTTAACAACAATGTATAATATTTTCCTGTATTCAATTAGTTATTATTATTTGCAGTTACTAGGTACATTTCACGTACTGTGAAAGGTACTCTGTGGCTGACATATTCTTTAATAAATCAACCAACACAGCCTCAGAAATGGACTCTACGGACAATTTTGGCCTAGTTCACCACTGGATGTATAATTGGGACCCTCACGGATTGAAACTTACACCTCTATGGACACATATCACAAGGCCAATACCCAGTCAAGCACATGTCACAACCCTCAAGTCACCTCTCAGTTATGCTTGTACACAGCTCCCAGTATACACATAATTTCCCACACCTCTTTATCTCCACCACATAAATTAGTTTGGTTTTATTCGTCACCTCATGCACTGCCTTTGCAGGCTGTGCAGTTTTGATTGAATTACTTCTCCCACAGTTTGATAATTTTCCCACACCTTTTATGACAACAGCAGTATTTTTCCAACAATTTATTGCATCATTTGACAATTTCTCACATTATTTACGCACTGCAGCACAGCCTTTGATGTTCACTCAATTACCAGGAAACATTTGTGGTGGATGATGATGGTGAAAAGCCAGGATGGATGGATGTATGATGGTTGTATTGTAATTTGTGCCAATCTTACATTGAAAATTCAATAAATCAGATATTTGGACAAAAATTGTGGCCAGAATGGTATCTCCAAAAAGAATTTTTCATTTGTTTTTAATTTATACAAGGTTACAGAACTTTTTCTCCAAAAATATGCAGTAACATGAAGTAATGTACGTATAATACTCCCAAATTTTTCCCCTTCTTTGGCAAATCAATCTCTCTATGTTTTCTTCATTATCTCTCATCAAATTCTACATTATCAAAACATCCTCAACATTTGTACTGGTTGATCAAAACCAACTGGCATGTCAAATTCTGCTCACCCTGCCACCATGCACATTTTCTTGAAAATGGGTGGTGGCTTGCACTCCAGTAACCCTGAGTCATGTTAAAATTAACAATGCATTTTGCAGACAGTTAGCATAAAATGATTGACTTGGGCAGGATTTGAACCAGCGACCTTAGCTTGAAGCTAAGACACTATACTAGAAGTGCTGCCTTTACCAACTAGGCTACACTACAGGCAAAGAGGTGTTGCTGCGGGCCGCAGCGACACCTAACCCAAAGGGGCCCCCCTTGGGTTAGGTGACGTTCCGCGCGGGAGCGTCACCTAATTGCCCGTAGTGCTACCAAGTCCATGCCTGATGTGCTGATATTTAGAACACTGTGGATTACAGAATTTCAACACACCTCCTTAATCCACAGTGGGAGAACAGGAGACCCTAATGTCAACCATTTCTAAGCTAGTCTATACAAGGATAATGCATATTGCATAAGCGGATTTTGCATATTGTATAATAACATTTTGCATATTCCAAAGAAGTAGGATTTTTATATTTCCCAAAGTTGCATATTGCATAAGTGCATATTGCATAATCTCATGTAAATGCATAGTATGCGCATAGCACATTTCGACTGTTAATCATGTTAAAATTAACAATGCATTTTGCAGACAGTTAGCATAAAATGATTGACTTGGGCAGGATTTGAACCAGAGACCTTAGCTTGAAGCTAAGACACTATACTAGAAGTGCTGCCTTGACCAACTAGGCTACCAAGTCCATGCCTGATGTGCTGATATTTAGAACACTGTGGATTACAGAATTTCAACAAGTCACTCTCACAAGTCTAAGGGTGGTCATTTCACAAGGTCTCTCCTGGTGGAAATCTTCTGTCCCCAAAGAAAAAAATAGTCAAGCAGAGCCATATGCTGAAATTGTGCCAGCCAAGTTACTATCACTGTGCTGAAGGACTAAATTAAAGACCAAGATAATATTACTCCTAGTCACCGTCAAACTATTAAGTGGTCCAAACTTCCCACTTAAGAGGTTCTAAGTCCACACTCCTCAGTCAATGGCACTTTGAATCATCAAAGGAGCACTGTAGGAGCCAATGACAGAGTCTTTTATTACTGATTTTTGTAAGCAATATTTAGTATTGAAATAAGTATCTGGCAAGCACTTGAGCTGAAAGGCTACAGTTGGAGGTGGTGGTCTTGCAGCAGCTACTTTTTAAGGAATCAATTAAGAAGGGAATCTGGGATAATTCTAAGCCTCTTAATAAAAATTTCAGTAATAAGGTGGGGTTGGATTGGATAAAAAACTACTATAAAAGTAGGTGGAGAATATTCACTGTACTCACTTAGTTTTTTGGGGGTGAATATGCTGAGCAACCAATCCTAGGCTGGAGATGGCCTCCTTAAATATTCTAGAGGTCCCCTTGAGGAACATTTTGGAATATTCTTGAATCTGTCTTTTAGTGTACCATGGTAGAATTATTCCCCTGATCTAATGGGAATACATGATGCATATTTATAGCCAATTACAGGTCTTCTTAAAATAGAATCATACTAGTAGAAGTTGCCACACTCTTGAAATAGTGTGGTGATTTCTTTCTAAAAGTTTAAATAATTGAGTACCAAGGTTACCTTAAATTTATATTCAACCCTAATTCAATATACAATGATTTTATTAGGGGGTATCAAATATAACCAAATCCACCATTATTCAATTGACTGGGTTGAAAAAATCCACTCTTTTTTAAACATGTTGTAGAGATGGCACGGCAGGTACGTGTCTGATTTTCATGGAACCTGCTTCAAAGTGCTTGAGATCAAAGAACATCAATATTTAACACTTTCATCTCATCAAGTACCACTTTGGCTTGAGGAAGACACTAAGACAGCTTTCTAGCAAGGCACCTGTACAACCACAGATTCCAAATACCACGTGCACAGGTACCTTTCACTAAGAAAAAGGGAAGAGAGAGAACAATATGAGAAACTGACCTGGAGCAATGAGATTGGAAAGGATGACTTAAAAAGGAATCCTTTCCAACTCAGTTGACTCCAGTATAAAAGAGAAATGAAAACAAGATGGATGTCACAAGGTGTGACATGTGAGAGATGAAAAGAGAAAGAAGCACTACACAATAGCAGCTATGACAACTACACAACATGGATAGCTCAACACTCACCTGTGCCAGCCCATGCAGTGATGTGAATGTATTCCTCAAGTCCACGTGGTACTTGATGAGATGAAAGTGTTACATATTGATGTTCTTTGATCTCAAGCACCTTGAGGCAGGTTCCATGAAAATCAGACAGGTACCTGCCGTGCCCTCTCTAACATGTTGATTCTTCATTTAATTCCTTCTGGGGCCTGTTTTTTATTCACTAGCATCTAGTCATGTTTTTTATTCACTAGCATCTAGTCATGTTTTAAATAGACTAAATACAAGCAATGAAAAAGTGGTTAAGAGAAATAAATAGCAAAAACAT